CCTAATAAAAATAAACACACATAGGAACACCAACAAATAAAAAAAAAGAGAGAGAGAAATTCAAAACCATGAAGTAAACTGTGTAGGATATATATAGGATATATTGGTTCTTTTTGGTTTTTTTTTCATGTTTAAAGGTATGAAACAAAAAAGAGAATGTCCTAATTTATGCAAAGGTCATGCTGAGTATGTTTTCGTACCTCTACTGAACAGTAGAATCGTAGAATGTTTTAAGTTAGAAGGGATCCTAAATATCATCTGATTCCAGCCCCCCCCTGCTGTGGGCAGAGACACCTCCCACTCAATCAGGTTTGCCCAAAGCCCCATCCAGCCAGGCCTTGAACACTTCCAGGGATGACCACTTCTCTGGGCAACCTGATACAGTGCCACACCATCCTCATGTTTAATAATTTCTTCTTATTATTAATCTAAACAATGAATTTAAATTGTAACCCTTTGTCCTGTCACTAAACTATCTCATAACAAATCCCTCCCCAAGTTTTTCCCCTTTAAATATTGGAATGCCTCCACATTGGAAGGTCTCCATTATAATACTGAAAGGCCTCTGTATTAAGGTCTGCACAAAGCCTTCTCTTCTCTGGGTTAAATAATCCCAACTGGAAGCCAGAACCTTTTTGAAAGTTTATAGTATATCCATACCACCTGCTCATGTCATTATCATTATCTAGGTGGTATTGCACTTAGTCAAAATGTGCTAACCACATAGAAGAGAAAAATTTCCTGATGCATATAGATAAGTTTTTGTTAACAGCAAGGGTCAAAAGATGAGAACTACAGTGAAACCTGCAATGCTGTTAGGATAGGAATATGACGGTAACAGGGAAAAAAAAATGAACAAACATAAGAAAAAGCCCTTTTTGTGCTATTTATCACAAAACTGATATTTTTTTAACTAAATTTCTGTTGATGTCACAGTCACTTGTAAGCACTTCTCTTTTCTCTTGGCCCTTCTCCTAGCCTGGTTAAGAGAGAGACTCCTCAAACAAGCTAAGCATCATTTGCTTAAGGAAATGTTTCCTGCTGTTAACCTAGTTTTGTTTGTTATGTGTGATGACACAGCAATTCCAGTGCATTCTCCAGAGAAAAAGAAGCTCAGTACATTGAAACAGTCCTGCATGATTGTTATTTAACCACAGGCACCTCACTGCCTGTTGACCTTATATCCCAGGACTGTACTCGACTTCTCCAGTCCTCAGCATTATGATGAAAACCTTTCTTCAGATGTTCTCTGTTCTGCAGTCTTCCATCTTCTCCTTTTGCATGATTTGAAAAATGCACTAACAGTTACATCTGCCAAGGTTCCATGTGGAATAGTGATTTCCTATGGTGGAAAAATGTGCTCTGCACAGTAATTACCGTTGAGTCAAGTCCATTTAATCTGTACAATGACTTTTATTGTCTTATGCAGTTTGGAAGGATTTGGGAGGCCTAGTCCTCCCCCAAGTGTGTAAGACATCAGTCTTAAAGAGGTTTGAGGTGTGAGAGATTCTAGACTGCTACATATATTGGGTAGCAGAATATTTGGCATCATGGGTGCACAGATATAAAGATGGAATAAAGGCTGCAGTTTCTCATGAATATCAAATCTAGCTATGATGTAGGCATGGGATAATCATTATACAGCTTTCCTATTTGCCTTTCTTAACTTTGCCCTACATACTTTCTTGAACCTCTAAGCAATTCTCCCCACACTTGTAGCTTGTGCTGAAATGCATAAGATTGCAGCAAGTAAGCACCCGTATTTTTACATATTTTTATATTCATAGAATCTTAGAATAGCTTAGTTTGGAAGGGACATGAAAAATTGTCTAGTTCCAATCCTTCTGCCATGGGCAGGGATGTCTCCCACTAGATTGGACAGACAAGAGCCCCATTCAACCTGGCCTTGAGCATTTCCAGGAATGAGGCATCCACAGCTTTTCTGGGCTGTCAATTCCAGTGCCACACTACCTTCTGAGCTAATAATTTCTTCCTAATGTCTAATCTGGATCTACCCTCTCTTAGTTCAAAACCATTACCCCTTTTCCTATCAGTACATCCCTGATAATGAGTCCCTCTCCAACTTCTCAGATCTTCTACCTGATGTGTAAAAAGGGAGATTTCATTTGGTTTTCTATGAAGAGAGCCACACCATGACTTTAAAATTGCTGTCAGATCTGTAAACTCTATCACACCATAAGCTCAATCCCAATTCTGGGATTCTCATTTTGTTATGTTTTTAGTCTATTAGGGCCACTAGTCTATTAGGCCCTTTGTGTCCTGTGCATCTCTCTAGCTGATAAAAAAAATGTTATATATTAAAAGAGGTTCACTATGCAAGCACCCAGAGCATATGAAAAATATTTGTAACTGACATGCACAGGGTAGATTATTGCTTCTAACTCAAGGGGAAGGCATGAGGAGGGTGCTTTTGACTGGTGTTGACATGCTTCTGATCACAGTTCTTTGGCACAGTGAGAAATTCCTTGGTGCTGCCAGCCTGCAGCCCGGAGAGGGAAGATCATAGCCATGTCTAGTCTCCACTCTTGTAACCCTCTTTTCTGCCTTATCTGGCTGGTGTCTTCTGTACATCATTTTTAGTATTGTGGCTAACTTTGAATCACTGTTTACCCACAGCGTCTCACTGAATGTCAGCTGAGTTGCTGAGTTAGCATTTGGTTGGTTCCCAGCCTAGATATGTGGAAGAGAAATCATGAGATAACTGCAGTATAGACTGGTGTTTCGAGGTGATGCTATGAAAATATAAGGTGACATTGCACAATATGTTCCTATTATTTCCTGTATTTGCTGTTAACATATACTTAAGTGACTGGATCCTCACCTTGCATTTCAACAATGGGCTCATCTGTTGGTGGTGGTGAGACTGGGAGATATTGCATTGGATTTGTGTTCTTATGAATTAAAAATGTGCAAATATATAGCAGTGTGCTTTACTCAATCTCTCCTTATCAGATTGTTTCTGATCTCACTTAAACTGCTCCTTTTACCAGAACTGAAATTGCACATGCAAGAGGAGACTTAAACCAGTGGTGCATTAAATCAAACATTAATAATGTTTGTGCAAAGAATTATGGAAAGGGTTGGTAAAATACATGTTCAGAGAGGCTTTGAACAATTAGGGCAAAGAACACCTCAGTGTTTTCAAAGCAAGAAACAACGCCCTTGTGTTCCTCTCTGAGAAATGAATAGCACCAAGGTGTATGTTGGCAGATTGCTTGCTCCAGAATCTGAGAAAACGGTTGGTTTGCAAAATTTTAATTCAGATGTGTTTTTTTTATTCTTCAGTTACGAATTCCATGTGAAACCTAGGAACCCCCTTGGTGAAGGTCCGAGTAGCAATGTTGTGGCTTTCAGTACTGAATCAGGTACGGACTTCCAAAGGTTTGACTGTAATTTTATTATCCATGGTTATGAACCAACTTTAATCCATTTCTTTGAGATATAAGAAAGGTTCTCTTACTTCATTTTGTGAGCTTGATCTTGCTCTTTCTGATCTCCAGATTGGCTTTTTACTGCTCACCATTAGTAATGGCTAGAAGGTGAGGGCATAAGATGGCCGTACTAAGGAGAAAAAGGCAGGAACACAGAGATCTTCTGGTATTTCCTGTGAAGAAACAAACTTTAAAGAATGTTCAGTCTTTTAAGATCAGTTAAAAATACCAGTTCCTGGTATTTTTATACTTATCAAACTCATTCATATGTTCTAATGGGGACATAAAGTTTTTCTTTGGGCTACTGTGTTTATACACAACTTGCTACCTGTTCAAAATGCTGCTGTGTAATAAATAATGATATCTTAAGGCTGAAAAAATGATCAAGCAGTAATAGTTGGAACAGTTGGTGTCCCAGTATGTCTTCTTCCATCCTGTTTACTCTCTTGTGAAAACACTGAAGAGGTATACACAAGTCTGTTTTGAACACTGGCTCATTCTCAAGCTTAACTCCTGTCTGACTCAAAGGTGAGAATCAGAGATTGCCTTGTTTTCTGTATTTCAACTCCCAATAAGGCTAACTCCAGTAGACATTAAATAACTCTGCACAAACTAGGTGTCGTCTTTTGTGTAAAACTAGTTTCTGTTTGATAGTATTTAAGGACCATATAAATTAAAAAAATGGGTTCAACCTCTTCGAAAGGACTTTCTTAATCTGTATTTTGAGCCAGGTGTAATAATATAATAGTCCTGGTCTAATGCTCACTGATGGATGAGAGTTTCAGTTGAGCAAGGGATTAGGCAGGGAGGAGCTCAGACTAAGCCACACGTATTTAAAACCATGAATACACTCCTTGTAGTCCTAGATTGTCAAAACTGAATTAATGTTTATGCCAGGTGCAGTTTTCACAAATGACAAGGCTTATGTTCTGTCTCCTATTTAGCTTGGCCAAATGAAGCATTACATTTTATTTTGTCTTAATTGCACACATCCATTTCTCACATTTTGGGCGATCATAGCCAAGCCTTGAGTGGCAAGTGTAACAGAAGTGGTTTTTTCTTTTATTTAAGTATAGAGACTGAAATTAAAAAAAGAAAGAAAGAAAGAAAAAGAAGTGCAGTAGAATTGAGTTTTACAGGTTTAAATTCCTGTTTTCACTAGAACCTGGTTTGAACACAGAGTCCCATAAGTAAAATTTTTAAAAGCACATTGATGCTGTAGTTTCACACAGTGACGTTTAAATTCAATAAGAAAGTGAACTTTGCTTCCAAAACACTTTGTTTCACAGCATGCAGCCTATGTCAACAGTAGAAAATCACTTGACAATGCTTTTCCATTGGTATAATGGGAATGTTAATTTTACAATGTCTAATTGAATGTTTGTTTTATTTCCACAGCGGACCCAAGAGTGAGTGAACCTATTTCAAGTAAGCCTTATACAAATTATTGTGTCTTCTGATCAGGAATTTTTTCAGAAATAGTGCAATTTTAAGGGGGATGGTGGTGGTGGTGGTGGTCTGTACTGCACCAGTTAAATGAACTATGGAATCAAATAGCTTTTGCACTTGAATTAATTCTTTCCACCCATATTCCTTGTCAGGACTGCATGCCAGGCTGCTTGTTTACCTGAGCAGAATGCAATCAGTGTGATGTGATGCTCCCATGGCAGCTGGGATGGCTTCAAACCAATGTACACAGATGAGCCAAAGATGGCCTCATATTTTCTCAGTTTTGTCATTAAATCAAAGGAAAGACTCTTCAAAATGAATAAGCTATTTCACACTTTTTAAGTGACTTAACAGAACACAACTTGGAGGATACTATTTATCTGCCATTATGTTTTTTAAAAAATTTCTGCTTCTGAAAGGCTGCTCCTCCTCCACTTACGCCACTTGTAAGATTTGCTGTCTTCAGCAAGAGGTGGACTGAGCTTTGAAGAACAACAATGATCCATTCATGCAAATTGAGCACTTTTTGCATTTGTAATGGACAACACTTTGACAAAACTGAAACCATTTATTTTCACGTGATTCATAACACTTTTATGTATTTTTTTAATCACACGTTTTGCTGCAAGTTGAACTTCCTATCTTGATTTCACATAGAAACAATGACTGCATCACATACATTGTAAATAATGTTTTGGCAACACAAGGACATTGTTCCCCTAATAAGTGAGAGCTCCCAACTGGCTTCTCTGACACAGAAAGCAGAAGCAGTTCACTGCATCAATCATAGCTAAGCACTCAGTGCTTCCTTGATATAGCTTTCATGCTCAAAATGCAGGTGACAGGTGATATTAGTATATTTCAAAATGCTTTCTGCTCCATCAAGGTTTCTATTTATTAGAATATATTTGTTATACATGATTTTATATAAACTGCCATGCCTTAGTATCTTTCTTCCTCTCGTGCAGTGGGAAAGGATGCTATCTGGACTGAAATCCCATTCAATTCTGACACTTACTCAGAATGCAAAGGGAAACAATATGTGAAAAGGACCTGGTATAAGAAGTTTGTAGGTGTGCAGCTGTGTAATTCTTTAAGATACAAGATATACCTCAGCGATTCACTTACAGGTAAGAGATAAGTCAGTGTTGTTCACATTATAAACTCTTCAAAAATACGAAGAACTAAGAGGCTTAACAAGATGGGCACCGTTGAAGTGTGATTAAGTATGATTAATGTAATTCCTAGACAGATTAATCATAAATGATAGTCTGCTTGTGTTCAGTAGTCATTGTTTGATACTGAGTTTTCAGACTCAAGTGTTACTTCTCCATGATCATCGTCTGATTTACAGCACCTGTTGGTATCCTGGGGGATCTTACAGAAAACTGATAAATAACACGTCTGACAGTCAATAGCTTATGCTATAATGGCACCAAATCTGTGTTTAAATCATAGCTTGGAACAGTTCTTAGTAGAGGATCAGGGCCTAATTTTAGATCAGGGTTAGAGCGTGTTCATTCCCATTCCATTTCAGAAACTTCTTGTTAATTTATTACTATGGGACTTACAACTACATTACTTCAACTCTAGTGGACAAATTTCTCTACCTGCTTTGACATTTTTGTTTTCATGTTGCCCATTTTTGATTTTGATCTCTTGTTGTCACCCTTCTTTTTCTTATGTTTTTCTTATGCTTTATTACTAACAGCAGCCTCCTGTCCTTAGTTTCTCAGGTTCTATTCAGTGTCCTACGATCATTAGCAAATGAAGTAGTTAAGACCTGAATCAAGTGACATGTCCTGTGTTTGAGCTGGGGAAGAAGTCTGTAGTATTGGTTTTCAGTTGATTGATAGCTAAAAGAACTTTGTATCTCATGGAGATTGCAAAAGGCATATCTGGAGATATTTTAACTCATAATCCTTTCAGAGTTCCTGGTTTCCTTCTGTATGAAATCTTTTCTTGACATCTCCATTATGATGGCTTTAGTATAGCATCCAGAGCACAAAGAATGTAAAAAAAAACATATATGGGTAATGTGTCAGGGTGTAAGTTTGACAGACAGTATGTCCATCACATTGGAATTAGATAACTAGGAGAGACTGATTGAATCATCTTCCATAACCTAACGCTGCCCCATCTTTGAGCTCAGCAACTCGCAACAGCATGGCTCAGTGGTCTCTGTGTGTGGTAACAGGGAGTGAAAAGGGAAACAGGGACCGTAAGACAGCCTGTGCCAAAGTAGCATTAAGCTGCCATCACTGTTTCCCCATGAGTAGACAAAGAAGGAAAGCCCAGTCGTTAATACTAAGTACAATACCTCATGCGTAAGTAATACCTTGGCAATTATGTGAATAAAAAGATGATTTTGAACAGAGGTATCATTCATTCAGCTGTTGCTGCACTAACCAGCTATGATCGAATGACAGAAGCTGGCAATGAGGCGTAGTGTATCACACAACCAGCCAGTAGAGGAAACGGCAGTGCTAATTTAGCAGGACTATGCTGTAGCTCTAAATCAAAGGAATTAACACTGCAATGAAAGCTACTTCAATCTTAGAATAAAAGTGTAATATGCCAGGAGCCCATTTTCCTATTTTTGTTAGATTGGTTTTGTTCTTGCTGGAAGGATGGCGATTTAACTTGGCTGGGGAAAGATCATGACAGCCACATTGTATTCATTATACTTGCTAAGCTTGGTTCTTGTACTTGAATTCTTAGGAACAGTGCTGACCACTTGTCGCAATATTTGAAGGAACTGAAATGTTTATGTAGGAGGAAAGCTGCTCTGTGATTTTTTCCCCACCAATCTCCTAAGTGAGGCTGTCATGGCATGGACCTCCATATTACAGAGGGATAATTTCCAATCTGAAGCCAAATTCTGTTCTGCATTTTACTGTCATACCCTGTCCCATCATGTTCCCAAGCCCAGCAGAAGTGTATCTGCTAGCACTGCCAGCTCTGCAGTGTTCCAGGAGCAAAAGGTCTTTATTATGCTGAAAGTATCTCCTAAAGCTTTGCTGTTGAAGCAGCAAAACGATCTTGAAATTTGGGTGTATTGTGGACACCATTGCATAAGGCCACCAAAAACTGAACCTCTGCATGCTTGTTTTTAGTATGAATTTATACTTCTGTTGTTGCAGAAATCACAATGTGTAGAATAAAAATAGTATTTAATTTTCTTAAGAGTATCACAAGGGAGCTCTGAGAAAAACTTTATGCCAGAATTACTATCCCCAAAAGAGAAAGACAAATCTAGTAGTCTTTTGTTAGCAAAATGTTTAAAGTGTGTTCCTTTATGGAGGAATTGGACTGTACGAATTTAATTGATAGTCACCAAGAATGCTGCTGAGTGATGTATGGCAGTTGTTTGAATTGTGCATAAGTTATAATGTGGACTAGAAGACTGTATCTGAAAGTTACTGTTCTTTTGTTAGCCATAAGGTATCTGCTTTATTCTGTCCCTAGTGAAAAAAAGCTGATCCATGTTACACATGCCAGGACTGTTCTATAAAGCAGCATCTACTGCTGACCTCATTTAACAGTCCTCCAGAGCAGTCACAGTAAACATTCCAGAAAATCAGGCCACCTAAAAAAAAGCATTTATTGGGCAGAAAAAGATAAATTCTACGTGTGATGTTCAACAACCATGGAAAGAAAAGGCAAAACAAGAAAAACAGCCATGCAGTTTTGGGCAGCCTGAGTGTTCTCAACTTCAGATCAAAAATTTACCAAGAAGAACTCCCACTGACCAATTCTTGCATGGAAAAAAATATGCTTGCAGCCAAAGCTAGACAGTAATAAATTATTTTCTAAACCTAGACCGTCAAGTGGAGGTGAGAATTTTTGGCAAAGTATTGATCAGACCACAGACTACAGAAACACGAGTAAGAGTGAATTTATTGGTAGGCTGCTAGTTTATTAATTGAACTTCAGGGAGTAGTGTGAGCTACCTCACCACCTGTCACACAGCCAGGTGGGCACAGATTCAGGGCCACAGGAGACCCAACATCTAATGAGCAACTGGACATTGTGCTTAGCTTATACCCAAGCACTAAGCCTTAGTTGTCACCTTTCCTTTCAAAGTCACAGCCTGAGGCTGGATGTGTCATGAAATGCTGTGAAAGGTCACATAAAATGCTGATCTTATCTGAAGATGTTTCCTGTCTAGGCCTTGGAGGTGAAGACAACATGTTTTCTTCCATCTTTTGAACAGAACTTTGCAAATCTTCTTGCAAATCTTATCAATAAGTAAAAACCTCTGTCAAAACTCCTTCACTGGGAGTCCTCAATAGGTTAAGGACAGCCTGTAATGTCAGCACACACTGTTTGGTACTTATAATCTTACTTTCTGCTCAGTCACAGTCAAGGGTCCTGTTAAACTGCCCTGCAAGGAACTATATGGGCCCATTTCACTTTCTGAATAAGTAGTTACTACACTGGGGTCATACATTAGTTAAGGGATATCACTTGCACGTACAAGCTGTAAAGTTTTAGAACAGGGTTTGCATGTGTCATGAGGTGGGCTGTAAAGACTTCCTCAAATATTCTCAGGACTTCCCAGCAGGGAACCAAACCTGCCCTCTATTAACATTGCTAGCAAAACTTACCTCATTTTTTTTATACAATCAGAATGAGGTTCTAGGTAGTAACAGAATTTTGCTTACTGTATGAAAGTTAAGGAGGGGAAAAATACATCCAGGCATGGATTTTGGCAGAGTGGGGTGCTGCTGTCAACAGCCATGAGTGCTGCGCTTGCACTGCACACTTAATGCTCTAATTACAGCAGCAGATCCTGAGAGGTAAAGAATGGTTGCATTCGCTTTGGCTTCCCTGCAGAGCTAAGAGTATCGATCTCTGGTGGGTGGCTTCAGCCTTCACTAAACGGGATGTGAATTTTCAACCTTGCTGCTTATTTCCTTTTAGGAAAATTCTATAACATAGGAGACCAGAGGGGCCATGGAGAAGATCACTGCCAATTTGTAGACTCGTTCTTAGATGGAAGGACGGGACAGCAAGACGATCTACCAGTCAAAGACGGTAATTCCTTAAGAATGTCACTGCAGCAGTCCTTGGCAATTCCTTTGTTTGTTTCTTTTTCTTGCCAGTGAATTGAGGGCCCACTGCCAGGGTGGGCAATGAACAAGGGCTGTCGGCTCTGCAGGCAGAAGAGATGAGAAATTGCTGAAGATGAAAATTGTGGTTAAAAAACATTACATGAGCCAGCAGCATGCTCTTGCAACCTAGAAGGCCAACTGTATCCTGAGCTGCATGGCAGGGGAGGGGATTGTCCCTGTCTCCTCTCTCCTCATGAGACCCTAGCTGGAGTACTGCATCCAGGTCTGGGGCCCCAGGCACAAGAAAGATGTGGGGTTGTTAGAGTGTGTACTGAGGAGGGCCACAAAGATGATCAGAGGGCTGGAGCACCTCTCCTGCAAAGACAGGGCTTGTTCAGTCTGGGGAAGAGAATGCTTTGGGAAGGCCTCATTGTGACCTTCTAGTACTTAAAAGGAGCAGCAGGAGGGAAATCAACTTTTTACCTAGGGTAGGACAAGGGGGAATAGTTTTAAACTAAAAGAGCAGAGATATGGATTAGATGTCATAGGGAAATTTTTCATTGAGACTGTGGTGAGGCCGTGGCACAGGCTGCCCTGAAAAGCTGCGGGTGCTCCATCCCTGGAGGCATTCAAGGCCAGGCTGGATGGGACAGCCTGAGCTGGTGGGTGGCAGCCCTGCTACAGCAGGGAGATTGGAACTGTGTGGACTTTAAGGCTGCTTCCAACCCAAGTTGTTCTGTGATTCGATCATTCTAAGATGAGCCATGACTTACTTAATAAAGACCATTATGGCTCAGGTTCTGTGAGGTAGTAAACAGCCTCCCTCCTGTTTAAAACATTCCAACAGGTTATTCACATTTGGTATTGCATATTTAAACCCAACTGCAATTTTCAGTTTGCATAGCGGCATGAAGCGTTATGCTGAAACTAGCAAGGTTAATGTTAGGTGCCGTAAATCATCACTTGAGCATCAAACAGCTCTGTTTAGTGCTAACGAGAAACTAAAAAGTTATAACTGGAAAATATAATTCATGCTGCAGTAATTCTGAATACACTAATTCAAGGTGGGTGCCCAAAACGCTGGTCTGGTCTAAGGGGACGGGGTGTGGATGTCCTACAGACAGCCGTGACTGCCCTGCCTATTTTTTCACGTTCCCCAGGCTCAAGTGTAAGCAGGTTCTGTCAGCTGAGCCTCCGCCTTGCTTGTTTGCAGCATTACCACTGCAGTGCGTTCCACCCTCTTGTAAGAACATCGTCTGTATTAATACAGGTGTGAGTGCCGAATGAGTAATGGAGTATTTGGATGAGAAAAAAAGTCGGAATAGTTTTCAATATGGTATTGCTGCGTTGACCAGACCTTCACGTATGTAGTGTTTTGTTTGTAAAACGTCTTGCCAAAAGGCATGAATGCATTGTGGTAGGTGTAGGTTAGGGTTAGGGTTAGGCTTTACTTCTTCCTCAGTGTTCCACACTTGTAAAGGAGTTTTGTTTGAATAAGGAATTGTCTGAATCCAGTTCAGCATGGTCAGGACAGCTGCCTTCTCAAGGCAGAATCTCAGATTCACTTATTAAAAAAAAATATATAAATGTGAAATAAAAAGCTGCCTACCTTGTAAGCTTATGAGAAACATAAAGCCAATTTGTTTCCAGCTACTGGATTTAGCTGACTGGATTCATAAGCTGCATTCATTTTTAGCTTGAAAACCTAAACAAGTACAATCCACCAAGGAAAAAGAAACTGAAAGACCAATCTGCAGTTTGTATTTCTAGTACATGACAGGAACAGAAGAAAGAGCAGGCATATGTTGCTGCTCTCTTCCTCCCTGGTTGTGGCAAGACGATTCAAACCAGAGTTAATGGTGTGTATTTTGACCTGAAATGCAGGAAAGGAATGATGGCTGTGGCACATTGTTAGCCATTAATGGGATGATATGCAAGCTCCATGGGGAACTCAGAAGAAGGTATTTTCTAATGGCTTCCTGCAAACAAACTCCGTTCTCTGTTCTAGGATTTTTCAGGGCAGTTCGTCAGGAACCTGTCAAGTTTGGAAAAATAGGTGGGGAGACTCACATCAACTACGTGCGCTGGTACGAGTGCGGAACATCAATTCCTGGGAAATGGTAGATGTCATGGGGACCTGGTGAAGAGACCCAGCACCAAGCACCCTTGCGAATGCCCCAAGCAAGCTCAAAGATGGGAATGTATGGTATGCCTGTCACTTACACAAGTTTGCTGGCGTGTAAGATTTATGCAAGTCTAATGCCAATACTGCATTAATTGTGTAATAGCGTAGGCTGCTTACTGTAGTTATCCAGTTTTACAAATTTGTCTTTAGATTGAAAAAAAAAAACACAGGCTAGGGACATGGTGTAGGATAATGTATAGGGAAGCTGGCTCCCTATTCTTGAGGTATGGTTTCTAAGGTATTTTAAGAGATACGGTGTGTATATTATTTATCACTATGTTGTAATAAATGTTTAAGGCACAGTTATGATAAAGTTGGTCATGGAATGCAGTATGTGTTAGTTTTTAAATATTCACTGGTCTTGTAACGTAAGTGCCATAAGCTATCTGCCCAGGTAAATCTGCCGTGTTTCCCCCATCATAAATTATAGAAAAGTCCCCACAGGTTTTAATAACCAGGAAACTTGAAGTGCTTTCTCCTTACACGTACGAACAGCCCATACTCCTGCCCGAACACTGAGTTTTATTGTGTGTGAATCTTTGAATGATAGTTTGTGTTTTTTCCATATTTGTTTCCAACTGCAAGTTTCACCTCCAGCAAAACCTTCAGTATGGTCAGCCCGTGGCTATGGAGCTAGAAGTGCTGCAGTGAGTGAGGCAGTGGTTTTTGTTCCTCTAATGAAAGCAGGCAGGTACACGTGTATGTGGAGAAACATGAAACTGGTCTCCGTTGCTGTGGCGTACCATAAAAGTGCTGTTTTCAAAGACTGAGTGGTTCAGAAATGAGATGTATGTACGCTGCAGGAGGGTTTGGGACAATAAGTGAAATGGGAAAAATAAGCGGTCATAATGGCGTCATCAGTCAGATTTGGTTTATTAAGAATGAATGCTTTAAAACATTGCTCATGGGGGAAAAAGGGGAAATAGTGATAACTGAACTTTTAAAACTGCTTTACGGCAATTAAAACCTCTCCCAAAGCTACTTGTTGTACTGCTTGAACATTTATGAACTAAATAAAGAGATGTAGGTTTTTTTTTAAAAAAAAAGGTGTTATTCATTACATTACTGATGTATTGAAAAATATGAACAGGACACCCAGATATATATATAGTAGAAATAGTCATTTATAGAAAATGCCTTATAAAGTACATTGCAGGTACACTGTACTCCTAATAAAATATTTTTTAATCAAGCGTTTCTCCTATTGTTTTACATGCAAGCAAGTGCTAGTTTCTGTGCCAATGGCTGTGGCAGAAGGGGGTCCTGTGGAAGAGGCCCCTGTTGAATAGCTGGGTGACCACCTGATGTGTTAGGGCTGAGGAGCAAGCAGCAGCACTGACATTCCACGGCTTCCTGATGTATGTGTGCCTGATTAGGAGAGCAGTGACACTTAGGGATGTGGAACGTAGAAATTTTTTCAGCTCCTGCTTTATTTCCTAATTTGTCTTGATGAGAGTTCAAGCAACGTGCTGCTCCATTTCGTGGCTTTATTCCCTCCTCTCAGTTTTATGTATTCCTAGAATCCATAAGACGGAAAATATTAACTAAGAGAATGTTTTGCCCTTTGCTGTTTATATGGTTTATTGAATTCTTTTACAGATTTCAATCTGCTTTTTCTTGGCTCAGCACTGAGTCACTGGGATCACACTCAGATTTTTCAGGGTGGCAAAGGACCAGTCTTAAGTTGTTCCCCTTTAACAATTCTTTATTAAAATATGGCTTCATCTTTTAAGTAATGAACGCGTTCTCCTTCTCCCCTTGTTTAAGTATTTTTAATTATTTAAGGGGTTAGTTCTAAGATTCTATATGTTAGCTTTAGCTGTATTTGGGAAAAGTTACCTGACAATTAGCAACAGCAGACAGTGCAAAACCATCTGTATGCATGGTGGCTGCAAGAGCTTTACAATGGGTTTGAAAGGGAAGATAACAAGGAGTGGAACAGCACAGCTGAGTTACAGGGACAAGGTGCTTGTGGGGGGCCTAACCCTGCCGCACACTTGAAACCTTATGATGATGAAGGCAATAGGAAAACTAATGGTAAATACTTCATAGGAATTAAGGATTTATCCTCCAGGAAGATGACAAGACCAGCTGCCCATCTGAAGTGTCTCGACACCAACACACACAGCTTGGGAAATAAAGAGGAGGAGTTGGAAGCCACCGTGCTACTGTAAAAACCATGACATAGTTGCTGTCACCAAAACCCAGTGGGATGATTCTCATGTCTGATGGCTAAAAGCTGCTGAGAAGGAACTGATGAGGAAATATGGGAGAAAGTGCTGCCCTCTACATCAATGGAGGAATAGTGTGTGAACAGCTGTCCCTTACGAATGACCACAAGCAAGTGGAAAGCCTGTGGGTGACAGTTAGAGACAGAAGTAACAAACGGAGACTTGTGGTTTGGGGGTTCTTACCTGATTAAGGGGAGCCTGGTGGTGAAGCATTCCTCCTCCAGCTACAGGAGGCATCATGTTTGCAGGCTGCCACCCTGTTGGGAGACTGCAACCACCCTGACCTCTGCTGGGAACGTAGCACAGTGAGCTGTGAGTGATCCACAATGCTCCTGGAATGTATCAAGGATAACTTCCTGAGCAGGGTAATAGCCCAACCAGGGGGGATGCAATGCTGGACCTGCTACTCACCAACATGAATGAACTGACTGGTGACATCAGGACTGAAGGCTGCAGGGGCTGTAGTGACCATACAATGGTGGAGTTCACACTCTTAAGGGATATTGGACAGGCAAAGGGTAAAATCAGGAAGCATGATTTTAGGAAAGCCAAATTCCAGCTCTTCAGGTAATTAGTCAACAAAACCCTCTGGGAATCCATCAAGGACAAGGGAGTAGAGCAGAACCGGCAGAATCTTAAAGAAATTTTCCTTGGTGCACAAGAGTTCTCCCTCCCCAAGTGTAAGAAGTCAGGAAAGGAAGGCAAAAGAATGGCATGTCTGAACCAGGACCTGCTGGACAAACTGAAGAGCAAGAAGAAAATGTACAGGCAGTCCACAGGTACCCTGGGTGGAGAGTAGAGGTGCTGCTGGGCTGTGTAGGGATGGGGTCAGGAAAGACAAAACCCAAATGGAACTGGACTTGGCAAGGGGCACAAAGAAAGGCTTCTGCAGGTACATCAAGTGGAAAAGGATATCCAGGAGTATGAACCCTCCTAGTGACACATAGAGGCAGGCTGGTGACAACAGACAAGGAGAAGGCTGAAGTATTCAAGATCTTTTTTTGCCTCAGCCTTCACTGGCACCTGCTCTACACCCAGCCTTGGAGCAGATGGTTTAGAAGTTGGGATCTTGGGGAGCAATCCCCTTCCCGCTGTAAGCAAAGATCAGGTTTTTGACCACCTGTGTTATCTGAATGTCACTAAGTTTATGGGTACCAATGAGATGCATTCCAGAGTCCTAAGGGAATTGACTGACAAAGTCACCAAGCCACTCTCAATGATATTTGAAAAGTCATGGTGGTCAGGTGAAGTTCCTGCTAACTGGAAAAATGGTAACATTGCATCCATTTTTAAGAAGAGTAGAAAGAATGACCCAGGGAACTACGAACCTGTCAGCCTCACCTCTGTTCAGGGGAATATGCTGGATCAGATCCTCCTGGTAGCTGTGCTAAGGTACATGGAAGAGAGCGAGGTGATATGAGATAACCAGCACCTCTCCTACGAGGAGAGGGTGAGAAAGCTGGGGCAGCCCAAAGAGAAGGCTCCTAGGTGACCTGAGAGCAGCCTTTCAGCATCTAAAAGGGGGCCGGCCTCGTAAGAAAGAAGACAACAGATTCTTTATCATTGTTTGCTGTAACAGAACAAGGGGAAGTGGTTTCAAATTGAAAGAAGGGAGATTTGGACTGTATACAAGGAAGAAGTTTTTTACAATAAAAAAAAGGGTCGTGAGGCATTGGCAGAGAGATTTCAGATGAAGCTGAACAGGGCTCCAAGCAACCTGATCCAGCTGTAGATATCCCTGTTCGTTACAGGGGAGTTAGACCAGATGACCTTTAAGGGACCCTTCCAATTCAAATGAGTCTGTGATTCTATGTCTTGGGAACAGTTCTCCATTTACACACCTAATGCCACGTGCCCACAAACATGAGCACCGCTTATCATTACCCAGGTCTCTGTCTGCACACTGAGCATGGTACACACTTGTTATGTAGTTTTCTTGTTCTGCACTACCTAGACTTTAAAATCAAGACTAGGCACATAATAGATTCAGGGATTTTTTTATTAGCTTTCCATGTGAGCATTACAATTTATAATACATCATATCTAGTTTTTACCTCCAAATTAATCTAATTTAGTAAATCATGTTATTAGTGGGCTAAACTTCCAGCTAGCATTTTAATATCCTTCAAACGAGGCAAGCTAGGATGTCAATTGATCACTTGACAAACACGTAGGTAGTGTTCCCAAACCACCCCAGCCCCAAATTAAACTAGGAAGCGGATACAATTCAAAGCATGAACGGCTCGGTCGCTCCTTCCCTCCCCCTGCAGAACTAATGAACACTTACAGCGACTCTTCTGCCTCGGGACAGCTCCAGATCTCGGTGGGGACGGCTGTCAGGCCGCAGCAGCCAGCACCGGGCACTCAGCCCTTACCGGTAGCCAGGCCCGGGCTGTGCGTAGCCCTGGGGCCCGAAAGGCGGCCGGGTGCGGGCGTACGGGTTGGGCCCGGTGGGTGGTGGCGTCATGGTGCTGCCGGGCGGCGGGGTGAAGCCGGGCCGTGGCTGGAAGGTGCCGGGCGCTGCCTGGGCACCGGGCGGGCCGCTGTACGGGGCCGGTTGTGAGGCCTGCGTGGTGTAGGGCTGCGGGGGGAAGCTGCCCGCCGGGTACTGCTGCGGCTGCTGTGCCGGCAGCTGCTGGGCCTGGCCCTGTCCTGGGAAGGCGGCGGCTGGGGCCGGTTGCTGGCTGTAGGCTGGGAACTGCTGCGCCGGCTGTGAGGCGGCCTGCTGCGGGCTGTAGCCGGCTGTGGGAGGAGAGACGTGGGGTAAGGCATGGCATGACACCCAGGGCACGTGCACAGTGACCGCGGTGATGGCAGAAGTAGCACGATAAGCACAGACAAGCAAACGTAAAGAACTGCGAGTTTTCCTGCTGTAAACGCAGCCTGGTATTCCCACAGCCAACAAGAAATTTAAAAGACAGACAAACAGCATTTTACCATCACAGCACATTAAAAGTAAAAAAAATCTTCCTTGACAAACAAGGCAAAAATGTAGCCTTTTTCCCCCCAAAAAACCAAAACCAAACTGTCATGAAAACACAGTTAGTGCTCAGTGCACTTAAGTCAGTGTGTTGGTTACATCATAGATGCTTTCAGTTCTTTAAAAGCAGATTTAAGTTCAACAGAAATTGTGCAGAGCAGAATACTTGAGTACAAAACTCCCACTGAAACATGTCCCAACTTGGTGTTTCTGCATAAAACCAGCTTCCAAAAGAAATTTCTCTTGTTGAAGACTTAAAATAGCATTAATTCCTTTTACGAAGAAAAAGCTACTTTTATCCATCACGAAACACACCTGCAGCTACTCGCAATGAAACCTCTCCATTGACTGGAATCCTGTCAGCATTAAACACCAGACACACAAGTTATTAAAAGTGCACACAGCCCTGAACAGAAAGAGCAAGGATCGAAGAATGCACTGCAGTATATTTTGAACTCACCTTGAAACTGGGACTAAAATTTACTCATGAGACAAACCTTGTAAGGCTGCATGTTCACTACCATAAGCAAATCTTCTTGTCTAGTAGAGCTACTGGGCAGAGTGGGAATGGATCCTGCTCTGTAGGATGGGGGTTCTGGAGGTAATCCTCATGGGCACAACAGCAACAAGCAGATGAATAACCACTTCCAATGGCAGCTGTCAAAAGGCCCTCACAATGAGACTGCTTCTGACCGATCTGATTAATCATGAAATTTTGGGGTTTTGGGAAACCTGACAAGCTCCATATAATTTCTGGCTATAATGGTTTCTTAATGGAGACATTCTAAGAACTGGGGACGCAGAACTCATTTTGCACTATAGATACTGCAGGAACTGCAGTAAAATAACAGTTTAGATCATGGTGGGAAATGATTAGTACGTAGAAGGAAACTTCTTTAAGCCTAACTTCAGCAGAAGAAACCGGGCTGGTGGCAGTCTGTCATGGATGTCTAACTACATAAAGCACAGGAACAACGGATGTGGCACAAACCCTCCATTTCAAGTTTTCTAGGATTCTTATCCAAGATAAACATGGGAATGTTTTCATAAGCCACACAACTGTTCTCATCTACATCAAATCTGATGCACTTCCACTGTATACATTGTGGAGGGGGAAAAAAACAGTGATGCAGGCTGTTTTCTGAGGCACTTAACAGTATGGATGCCTTTGCTTGTTTTAAGCAATCTTGGTTAAACTCTGACATGACAAATGCTTTCTATCTTCTTCTAAAAGCCATAAGCAATTGGAGATGTACATCCATTTTTGTAGTGTAACACACGCTATCTATTATTAGATGCCAGCCTCTGCTGAAGTAAATAACTAGAAATTCTGAAGTCAAGTTTATTTTGGAGACACACAAAACCTAGAGTTTTATATTTGCAGACACACCGCTAATGCACTAAACATGGTCTCCTGTCAAAAGCAGTAGCTCCTTTAGTTGAGGCATCTTTGCTAGAATGCCAAGATGCAGACCTCAACCCTAAAGACTGTTCAGGCTTTATTTCACCTACTTTTCTACCAGTGCATTTGTCTGACAGGTGGGTAAAAATGAAATACCAGAAGTGCAACTCTAGTAGAAACACTCACACTGACAGCATTTGCTAACTGGTCATTTTTTAATTGTGCCCATTTCCCTCAGAAGCGCGTTTGAGATGCTCAGCACCCTGAGCTGGCCCACACATTCAGGACCCACAACTCAAGGGGCCAGGCACCAGTGTAGACATCCCCCAGCCACACCACAGTTTGCAGGAGCTGCTTACCTGGATACTGCACGCCGTACTGCTGCTGGGGCTGCGCCTGTGGCTGCTGGGCAGGGTAACCCGGCTGCTGGTACTGCTGGTACATCTGGCCTGGGGACAGAGAACTCTGTTGGTTGGGAGCTGGAACCTGAGCTATATAACAAAGATTAGATGCACGACATCCTAGCGGTTTGAGTTGCAGAAATAACATGTACAAATCACAGATTTTAATTTCTGAGCCGTGCCATTCTGAAGATGGAACTAATAGTCCTAATTTGATGTGGGGGCCGCTATTTCAGGGTATGCCAAGAGCCATATACCTTAATTAGCACTACACTGCTGTCTAACAGAGCAGGAATCTTTACATGGCTTGCTAACTTCTCCAGAACTCACGCTGTAAATTAAAGTACTTCAGAAGTTAAACATGTCCTCAGATTGTCTGTTTATAATAGTTTTTAAAGACTATTTCTGTACAAAGTACTGTAGCAGTGGTACATTATTTATTCTGACCACATTTTCTAGACAAGTCCTCCATCTCTTAACATCTGACTCACTGTAAGCCAGGTTTTCTTAAGAGTCCCAGGAGTACAGCCCCTGAAACTGAAATAAAACTGTACATTCTTAAGGTTGGGTGATTTTTCCTAAATTTACTTTGTTCATTTTCTTGGCAAGCAGAGGCAGAATATTTGTTTTGACTTAACCTACGGGCCCTGATTAGGTTTTCTGCTTCTGCTGTTTCTCGTTTGAATAACATGCACACAGAACAAAACTAATTATCTGCCAAACCAAAGCTTAGCTGAACTGGAGCAGACTCAGAGACTTCACTACTATAAAGTGTTACTGTATCATCAGTCATTCTGCAAAGACCAGGCTGTATAAATAGAACTGCAAACCCTATCGTCTGAATTGCACTAAGACAGTAAAGGGAGCTCTGCTCCAAGTCCTCCCACATCCCCATACGTGCTGCTTCAGCAGGACTCCTCCTTTCCTTTTAACTCTGTGTTAATTGCAGCTCAAAGCAAAAGTGTTTTACATTCCCAATAACCCTTCAAAACTTTATCTGGTATACAACTGTTATGAGATGAAGAGTGCTGAGCAGAAGGACTGAAGAGAATGCAAAGCACATAACACACTTCTTTGTTGTGCTGAATAAATTCAAACTGGTGAATGCTTGAAGTCTTTGATTGGGGAGAGGCAAGCCATTCAGTAGTATCAGCACAGAGATTTAATGACCTTCACAAAAAAAAACAACTAATAACCAATATGATACCTAATGCCACTTTTAAAAATCCTGGGTTTTAAGAAAATCTTTTAGAAGATTTTATATATATCAGACATTGAATATTATTATAGCTTTAAGTCATAAAAATAACTATTTTTTCATTTATATCCCTTAAATAGTACAAGAGAAATAAGGAAAACAGGCTGAAAGCAGCAAAAACAAGCTGTTCTACTTCAACCAACAGCTTTCATGCACAGACCTAACTACAGGTTGCTCAAATACTCTGCACAGTCACAGTGTTATTGATAACCACCAGGAAGGGATTTCAAGTGACTATGGACACTGTGGTCACTGCCTCCAATGTCTCTTATACCTGTCTGTTAGATCAGTAAAGAAAATAGCAGAGGGTTTTAACTTGTTTCTGCATCAAAATACAGAAACGTCTTTATAACATACTTAGTATGGAGGGACAAGCAGCAAAGCAAGTCATGCCACAGCTGTGTCTAGAACTAAGCAGGTGTGAAGGCTCAGTGCTCTTAGAAAACATGAACTGAATATTGAAACTTCCCAAGTTACATCACTACCCTTTCAAATGGAGCTACTGCTCCACCTGCCGACTGTATGTTGAATGACACGTGGGAAAAAAAACATTCTGCCTGATGGGAATTTGTAACTGTGTACTGACTTTGGGCCTGCTAATTAGAAACCGCAGGTACAGAACACACAGATTCAGGCAGCAGCACTCCTGTCGAACAGCAGAGAAGGTGCTCCTCACCTTCCACCTGCTGACCCGCCTGTGGCTGTGCTCCTGGGTACGGTGCCTGCTGGGGCTGCACACCAGGAGGATGGGCTGCAGAAGAGGAGGAAGCGATGCTGTCTGGTGTTCCTGATCGTTCTTCTGCAGGGGCACTGGGTGGGCCTAGAGGAGAGAGAACAAAATGCATTAAACTAAATGAAGACAGAGTTTGAATAGCAAGCCCACAGCCTTGCAAAGTTTTTAATATTTCTTCCAGTTTTCCGTAGATTTACCTTTGGAAGTATATATCTGCACATCTCAAGTCTATCTTAAAAATATATGGGGGAGGAAATTTCCCATCTCTCTCAAATCAGTCATTCAAATTTCATGCTCTTCCACTTTGTGGATAAAGCCCTCCATAACAACACTGTTTCTGCAGCTTCAGGCACTCATGCACTTATGCTCCAAAGACTTGCTGCATTTGGACAGAATGCACACCTAACGTACCTCATTCTTCTTCTGCACCCAGAACGAAGGTGCAAAGCTGCAGAAAATTATTCAAATGCTGTCATGTTTTGCTGTGGCTTATATGGGCCCAGGCAATGAAATGTTTTATCAACAGTCACACAGCGTGTGAACAGAACACCTCTAAGGGATGTCTTAGATTTGCAGACCCACACAGGATACAGCTGGTGTCAGTCTGAAAGCAATTGTTTGCTTGGAGAACTATGAAAGGATTCCAGCTACTAGAAGCACCCAAAAAAAGCGTGGAGACAGAGAATTCAGTTTTTATTTAAGTTAATGAGAAGGTGTGAAATAGGCACGTGAACAGGCATGGCATACTACAGTTAAAGTCAAAACACTTTGTTAGAAACAAGGGAACTTAAACCCAAATCTTTCCAGCTCTTAGGTTTATGAGTACAACATATGATAAGTCACTTTCAAATACATGCATAGAGTTAAACAAGATATTAGACTTTCAGTAGTGAATTTGCAGAATGATAATTGTATTTATGCATGCAACAAGCATATAATTGCATTTTCACATTACCCTTACTAGGGGCAAAGTAAATCAAAGCTGCCCACTTCTGATTTTGGCTTTAAAGCTAAAATCCTGCAATTACACTTGTAGTAATGTGATATCTCAATATCCTGCTTAAATGGTCCTTTATGAAGTCCTTTGTGCATTCAAAGCATAGCCAAGTCAGTTCATCCTATCAAAAGAATTTTGGAGATACACAGATCTTAAAGTATCACTGATGCTACGATGAAAGCATTAACTGACAGCGAAGCTTTGTACCCAAACAGAAAATCACTCCTTTAAAAATAAGCTTTAAAATAAGCTCAGTTGTACTTTATAGTCTCATATAACAGTTGATCACTCAGAAGTAGTTCACTGTAAGTTTTCAAGAACCATCAAATCTTTACCAAGCGTGTGAAATAACCATACTGTGACGTACTCAAAACACTACATTCAGGAAGAGATTGCTCAAGACCATGCGAAATCATATAAAGACCACATTGGTCTAAAGTGAATATGGCAAATCTTGTTAATAGTAGGTTTTTCAAGTAACAATGTTATATTAAATTTTGTCAGTGTCAAGAAAATCCTGTGCAAAGTCATTTCTCTGTATTCTACATCGCACTCCCTGTTACATCCTGTAGTTCTTTTACAATTTCAGCTATCTTATCTTAAGCTGACTGTATTCAGTTTAGTATAAACTGCATTTAAATGTTTTGCATTCTCCTATTAGTCATACCGGTACTAATAACCATGCAATTCTCCAAGAGCAATCATCATTCTGTTAAGATTAAAAAACGCTGTCACTGTTTACTTTTGAAATGCAAAAGAGAAAATATGGGGTTATACAAACCATTCTGACAGACTCAAGGAGCAGAACACAAGCCAAGAACCTAAGGTGAATCGCAAGATCGATCCTTAAGGCCAAGCAGTGGATCCCATTCTTCCATCACTGGCAGTTACCAATTAAGTTACTGTACATTAGTTATTTTAGTACTAGCTTTAATTAGTTGAAACAAAAAAATAATGAACTATTTTTGACTCCAAGCTACAACATCAAGCTACAACATCTAGCTACAATAGCAACATTTTGGCACTTGTATACAGAACTTAGCAAGCCCGTTTACAATACCTTGGTGCATCACACATTTTAGAATTCTGAAAAGGAATAGTCAATACAGAATGCAGCTTAATACATCTAAAAAACAAATGCTCTGTTGCAAATCAAGCTTTATGTAATCATTTATTAACAGGCTTTGCTTTCTTTTTCATAAGACATATTCTTACCTGACACCTGATCATCTGTCAAGCCAAATGCTGACATGACATTCTTGCTGATTTCATCCTGATTCTTTAGTGGATCGAATGCAGACATGCTTGCTGCTATAACTTGAGTGGATGGCTTAACATTAGAGTCAGCAGCAGCAGGCTTTTCTTCCCTACCATCCACAGCATCTACGAAACAAAATGCCCTGGTTTGAATTCTCAAAAACTCAAAAAAAAACAACCTGCTGAAAGGCTTATGTTAGAACAATGTGATTAATCAATGCTGTATCTGAAAATGTGATGAATCACAAAGCTGAGGTCTCATTGCATAGTGAAGGATACACTGACACTGGAGCATCAGATCTCTTCAGTCTGAAGTTCAAAGGTTCCCACTACAACAAATTGTTTTGGTACGATTTGCTAACTGAGAATTCTAAATTAAGAACGCATATAGGACAGCTTCCAATTTATTATATTGTTTCATGAACTGTAGATCTTGTTCTGTTCCCCTCCTCCCCCAGTTCCACTATCCACATTGATGGATGAAGCTCATAACCCTGCAGAACTCATTCCCTCTGAAGCCCCTTATCTTCCATGGGGCTCCACTTTCACTGAGAAACAAACAAGTGCAGGTAGAGTTTAAAGTGGCTGTTTGCTCTCTATGATCATCACGCTAATCTCCTTCCAAACAGTTTATAGCCCAAATTCCCAGTATTCCACCAAAATTAGTCACTCCTTATATTGTAGAAGAGGGGTTGGATTTTTGAAGGTTTTCCTGTTAAAGTAACAAAAGCAATGTTTCTTAAAAGAAAGGATGGAGCTGCTAGTTCATCACTTTACTTGAAACTCTGCATTCCATTATTCTTCTATGCTAGGAGATCACTGTCTCAAAACTGGGAGAATACGAGTTCCTCCCCCATTTCACCCCCTCCCCCATAATCCTTTCCCACCCCTATTCTGCACCCTTGTGCTGCTTACCCTGAGACAGCTCTGATGCTGGTCTGAGCTCAAAATGTCTGGATTCAATTTCCTAACCTGGCAAAAGAAGTGAATATAATTTTTGCTGAATTAGCCTTTTACTGTTCTAGTGACTCAAACCTGCTTAGCAACATGACAAGATAAGCACCAGAGCTAGCCCAAAGTAAGCAGTGGGAGTGCTCAGCTGGGAGCAAGATCTTCCCTCTTCAGCAACAACATACTATTAATTTAGCTGGAAGCCCTGTCAAAAAGCTGTCCCGACTCACAAGCATTAGTTACAGCGTTTACATACGTGACAACAAAAATCATACTTGGAGGTGTTATTTCTAAGTTAACTTACTGCTTTACTTCAAATAAACTGAGACAGATTCTGCCTCTAAAATAAATGAAGCATTAAAATTAAGCAAAGATCAAGAATGATCACAACCAGTACTCGAGACCTCATCTTTCACTCTGTTAAACAGCACACATCCCTGCAAACCAAACCCAAAAGTCTTTGCCAGACTGCCTACCACTTTCAGGCAGGTTGGTGGAAACCCCTGGTTCAGTGGGTGGCTCTAAACAGTCCAGTAAGCGATTGACTTTATTGCGAAGTTCTATCAGCTCTCGACGCAGGTATTTCACCTGATTGGATTCTAGGGGTCTCGGCTGTCCGTTAACTGCAAAACAGCAATTACATACATTTACAACTGTAATAATGTGTTGATATTCAGTTTAAAATTGAAAGAAAACCAACTAGGCGTTCCCAACTTCAGAATCATCCTACTTTGTGTAGCTTGGAAGTGTCACACAGTGAGTAAACACAGGCTAAACACACTCTAGAGTTTATTGTTCCTTTATATAATCTCATTTTAGCCTGACACTACTGAGAACCAGAACCGCAGAGTAAATCTTGCAGTAAGTTTCTGCACTGCTTACTCAATTTCCATGACTATACCCTGAACAATACAAAAACCGTATCTGGTTGTGGAAATCTGTCTCCTCTTAGACTGTGCCTTTAGAACTAAGGCAGCACACACACCACTCTTGCATCTCGAGAACAGGATCAGCCTTCCAGATAAAATCTGCCTGCTATTCTGTGGAACTATGTGCAAAACTACCAACAGCAACCTGAAAATAAAGATTTTATCAAAGGCAAAAGGATAAATGTTAAAATCTATTATACTAGAAGCATTTGATGTTATTTTTAATAGTGTCCTAGCAACACTGCAAGTTTATCATTAAAGTTTCTACATGCCCACGAAGAAAATCCCCCTACACAAAGGTTAGAGTGGAAGATAATATGGAAAATAACATTACAGTAAAACAACTGACTCTTTATTTTTGTATGCCAGTTAATGTAAGCCACCTTATAAAAACTGAGACAGTTTCAGTTTCTCCAAATTCAGATATCATGTGAAAGAGCAAAAGAGAAAACAGACGTCACATATTAATCCACTGTTTGTAATTTACTGATTTCATTCTTCCAACATGATATAAACCAAAAGTCATAGAATAATAGAATTAATCATAGAATGGCCTGGGTTGAAAAGGACCACAATGATCATCTATTTCAACCCCCCTGCTATGTGCAGGGTCACCAACCACCAGACCAGGCTGCCCAGAGCCACATCCAGCCTGGCCTTGAATGCCTCCAGGGATGGGGCATCCACAACTTCCTTGGGCAAGCTGTTACAGTGCATCGCCACCCTGTGTGCAAAACTTCCTCCATTAGTGTCTAATGTAAACCTCCCCTGTCTCAGTTTAAAACCACTCTGCCTGAATTTTAATAAAGGTTATTTAAAAAAACTTATGAACCGCCTTATACACTTACCAAACAACGTCAGCTTGAGTATCCTGCTGCACTGAATTGCAAAGGAAAGATCTGAGCTATCAAAAATTGTTATAAGATCTCCATCTGAAAAGAATATTTAAAAAGTTACATTAAAGCAAGGCCTATTCACCACTGAACTTAATGTTGGGGCAGAAGTGTTACTTTATTTCTATACAATGACATTCCCTATTTGATTCCAAAGCTACTAGAAAAGAGGCTACCAATTAACATTATCACTTACCCTACTCCATTATGTGTATGAAGAGAAAACTGAAAACATAGAGGTAAAAACCAAAGGTTTTGCTCTGTGGTTACGAAGCAAGACTTAGCTCTGTGCTTCCTAAGCTACAATCAATTAGAAACACTTACTGTTGATTTAAAAGGCATTACAGTAAGTTGGGTCAAAAGAAATATTTATAGAATGAGGAACTCTTTCCAAGAAAAATAAAGTCCTCTAAAATATTTCTTAAAAGCATCATCACAACAAAGCAGCAAGTTAGACTTTTGCAAAACACAAAAACATACCATTTTAATGCCAGGACCAGTGTGCAAGAAAATTATGCACAGAAATTAAGGCAGAATTATGATGGCTTCAGAAGACGGCCTACTGTGGTTAATGAGATAAAGACTAGTGCCTCTCCAGGTTTGGAGGATAAGGATCTCTGAAGCAGCTGGACCGGATATATTTCAATCCTCATGATTGAAGCAATCTTAAATAATGACCTTAGCCTAGCTAAAACAAAGGGAAGAAAAGCACTGACCTCATACAGCAATCAAACTGAACTCCACTCTATTATCTCTTCCCTCAAACATTGCTGATGAAAATGTATAGCTTCTAGTGGTGACTATGTTGAAAAATAGCATTTTGTAGCTGAGAATTTGTTCTATCAAATAGTATTATTGTCCCCTTTTTTAATGCAGCCCAGAACACAGTTGACCTTCTGGGCAGCAAGTGCACACTGCTGGCTCATGTCCAGTCTCTCATCCACCCAGACCCCCAACTCCTTCTCTGCAGGGCTGCTTTCAAGGAGATCTTCTCTTAGGTTTCTATGGAATTAAATAGGAGGCATTACTTTCAGAGTAACCTACATATATGTGGCCCTAGATGATTCTTCTTCACTCAGTGTAGCCCATGCAAGCTGAAAAGTTGGACACTCACGATCTAGAGCAACATACAATTTCCATATCACAGTGGAGAAGTAGTATATTCTGAGACTGAATAAGCTAAAATTAACAGTAGGAGGTGTCTAGGCTGTTACAGACAACTGAAGAATGAAACTGCAATTACAGGGCTCCACTACACACTGTTATTTTTTCAAAATAGAAAAAAAAGACAGAGACATACATAAAAACAGAAGACTATACCTAAAGAGCAAGCAAGAATGCAAAAAAGGGACAAGATGCTCTAACTTCATGAGAAAGCATTCACACACTTTCTTTTACCTTTTCCATTCCAGAAAGGAAAAATAATATGTGATAAGACTAAAAACAAAACTACTGCAAATCCACATAGCTTTTTCCTACTACACACCAAGATCTCCAAAAAAGCTCATAACTGTATATCATTTTTTTGAGAAGTAGTCTCTCTCAAACCTTTATAAAACTGAAAAACTGTCTCTGAGTTATTCAAGAGTAGAGATGTACGAACAAAGGTTACTTTACATTTTAGGTCCCACAGACAGTGCTAACGCCATTAAGAATGAACGAACCTGCAGTGACACAGCACTTCTATTTACACATCCCGAATAACATCCCCTCTGCCCTCTCTTCCACACTGACATTCTAAGATGAAAAAACCCTCAGGACCACAACAATCACTCCATACATCTCAAACAATCCATTTTGCATACTGTGAAAGTACTGCATAAAAATCACTTTTTAAGTCTAAAGAGAGCTTGTGTTAAATCATGCGTGTTAATTCAACTTTCACCCTTCAAATCCACTGTACCACACAAAAAAACTGGTTCAATAGGTAGCTAGCAGAGAAATCTGAAACAGCATCAGCAAAAGAATGAACTTTCAGATTGCTGATATTCCAGAAATGCTCCCAGAAATACTATGGTAAGACAGCATAACCACAAAAGATAGATTCTACTGATTGAATCAAATCATTTTAAGAGAAATATCCACATTTGCCAACAGTATTTTGGACAACTTTGTAAAGGTGACTTGCACAGTTTCAGTTCTGTGTAGTTTCTGGACAAATGGTATCAGAGCAACAGTAGTAATTACACTGCAAAAGGTAATTAAACCTTACCTTCATCTTTATATTTTATTGTGACTTCATCGTTGCTCAGAAGTTTTCCTCTAAAAACTCTTTGCATCATTAACACTAACTCATCATAGGTGATATCCTCATTATGGATAGGAATTCTCCTAATGTCTTCACCAAGCTGAGCTTTTATGATCAGCTTCCCACTTAAGTCCAGCTGCCCATTCATGGTGGATTCTTTGTCACCTCCAGACCTGTTAACAACAAAAACATTAAAAACATACTTTAGAGAACTAAATTGCTAACAACTTAAATGTGTCTGATGACAGTTCAGATGCTTTCCATGCTCTAAAAAAGAAAACCTCTTGAACCACCTAGAAAACCACTCTCAAACACATTCTACGATGCACCAGTTTCTCAAACAGTGAAGTAGATCATATGCTTTCTGAGCTCATGGGCAAAGCAAAGGTAGCTGGAGGGGACACAGGCAGGATAGCTGATCCAACTTGGCCAAAGGGATGTATGTCCCACACTGCATGGTGTTACACTCAAAAAAGGGGTATGTTTGGAGGGAAAGCATTTGTCTTCCCAAGAAACCTTTACATGTGGTGAGCTCAGCTCTCCTATGGTTAGATTAGCTTAGCCATTAGGTTACTGAACACCCATCTGCCTGCTGATGGGAGGTAGTAAATGAATTCCTTGTTTGCTTCGCACATGACTTTATCTATCTTTATCACAACCTATGAGGTTTCACACTTTTACATTTGTGATTCTCTCCCCCATCCCACTTGGGGAGGGATTAGCAAGTGGCTATGTGCTACTCATGGTTAAACTACAACAGTCTTTTTGGGACCCAACCTGGAGAACAAAGGGTTCCACAACAGATGAGTGTGATGAGTGTAGTAGACTAAATTTATGGATATTACAGCTGTTTAGCTGCTAAGTGCTGTGATTCTATGAAGTGACAGGCTCCTGTGCTTTTTCACAGGGATAACTTGTCTAACTGTACTTCAGAGTCCAGCACTTCCTAATGGCTGCTTTTGTTTCTGACATCTGGTCTACTCCTTATCATCTTGCTTTACTGTGTCTGGGAACATTCTGGAAGCAACCATGGTCATGAACCTGGGCTGGAGGACTGCAAAGGCATCACTGTTGTCCCCATGCTGCTCTACTGGATAGGCTGCGACTTCAGGCTAAACTCAAGACAGAGGAACTACGACCTCTGCATCAGCCTGCACAGGAGAATGTGCACCCTGAAATGCCCATGGCCATGGAAATGTCCACTCTGGAGCAAGCACACTTCAAGGCATGCAGAAGCCTGTGTTAAGTAAACCTTGCAGTGCCCGTGTCTGCAGACAAAACCATGCCAGAATACTTCAAAGCATTTGTGGCTGTGGATAAGATAATGATACAGTGGTGTCTGAAAAGATCACGGCCAATGAAAAGGCCGTGACAGGGAAGGCATATCTCAAAGTAACTACAGCTGTGGATAAATCCATGCTGCAGCAGGTATATCACTGAAGAGGCTGTGGCCCACTACAAAGCTCACATCAGAAAAGGCAAACCTTGAAGCACCTTCGGCCAGAGATATGTCCATGACACAATAGGTAGACCTCTATCTACTGAAAAAGCCCAGGCTGGAGCAAGGGAAAGAGTATGAGTTCACTTCAATGTTAAATCCTAGGCCTGGTGAAAAAGGACTCAGGATGGAGGTTGTAATGGATATGCCTTCAAACTGTTGAGACCCATTATGTGTGTTAAAGATACTATAGAAGGAATCACACAAACAAGATGACAAGCCACACGAGAGACAGTGTGTCTTGTTCACTGATGTCTTAGTGTGGGAAAGCATCAGAAATGGAAGGCAGCTGTATGGAGTCCTGTGCAACAGGTAACAGAAACTGCTGAAGAAGTCGAATTAATTTACAGAAGTGAAAACCATCTAAGTTAGCTTTAGATATTACCAAGTGAGAAAAGTGGCCAGCGTTCTACCTCTATACTGACTTGTGGATGGTAGCAAATACCCTGTAGGGATGGTTACAGCCATGGAAGCAGAACACTGGCAGTACAGAGGCAAACCTATCTGGGCTGCTTGCACTGTGGAAAGATATTGCTATTCAAGTAGAGAATATGGTTGTAAAAGCACGTCACATAGATGTCCTTGTACTTGAAGAAAACCAAAACAATCAGCAGGTTGCTAGGATTGAAGCAGCCACAGCAAGTGTCATGTGCTTACAATGGTGGAAGCAACTAGATATCTAGAAACATATCGTGTGCCACATGCCACTGCCCAAAACACTATCCTGGGCCTTGAAAAGCAAGAGTGGCAACATGGTACTCCAGAAGGAACTGAATCAGACAACAGGACTCCTTTCCAAAACCACCTTATAGATACCTGAGCCAAAGAGCATGACACTAAGTGGGCATATCACACCCCCTACCTGGCATCAGCCTCCAGGAAAATCAAATGATACAATGAGCTATTAAAAACTGCACTAACCGCAATGGGTGCTGGCACATTCAAACCCTGAAGCGCATGTTTAGCAAAAGGGATCTGCCAATCAAGCTGGACCTTCCCAGTTAAAACTCCCACATACTGTATAAGGAAATAAAGTTCTTCTGGTGCACATGAAAACCATCCTGGACCAGACAGCCATGGTTATTCCTGCTTCAGACAAAGGCAAGTCCATTCATAGGACTGCATTTGGTCAAGGACCTGAGAGTTCCTAGTGGGTAATACAGAAGGATGGAGATGTTTGGTGTGTACCTAAAGGGGAATCTTATGTTGAGTGAGAACAGACAGTAATTTAAAATGGGTGATGTTACTTGCTATATAATACTGTATATGATGTCACCAAGATTAATAAATTTTGATGGAACTGAGAAAAGCGCAGCAGTGATAGAACTGGATAAACACAGCCAGAACTGGCTCCAGCATTCACCACCATACACTCTCCTGACCTGAAAGACTGTTATGGCAGATGGAACCTAAAGTCATGGACAAAAGGAACACAAGGTACATTTAAGATGGATGACCCATAGACTAAGAGAACAATGTGTGTGTATATTAAAATATAGGAAAGGTGGTATTGATTAACTGGGTCACGTTGCCAAGTATGTGACCAGAGTTCAACATAGTTGGTATAGTATAAAGGGAAAATACTGTTCTGGTTTCAGCTGAAATAGTTAATTTTCCTCCTAGTAGCTGGTACAGTGTTGTGCTTTGGATTTAGGATGAGAATAGAATAACACTGAAAGCATACTAACGTTTTAGTAGTTTGCTTTGGATAGCCAACCCAACCTGGCGAAAAGGGATGTTGTGCTCAACAATAAAAACTGAGAGAAAGGAGTAAAGCTGGGGGGGAGGACATTTGGAATGATGCTGTTCGTCTTCCCACTTAACTGCTACATGTGATGAGCTATGCTTTCCTGAACACTTGCCTACTAATGAAGCAGGAAGTAGCAAACTGATTTCTTGCTTTGCTTTGGCTGCGTGTGGCTTTTGCTTTACCTAGCAGAATGTCTTTATCTCAAACCTCACATTTTCCTTTCTGATTCTCTCCCCGCTCTCACCTTTGGAGGGTAATTCAGCAGCTGTGTGGTGCTGAGCTGCCTGCCAGTGTTAAACTACAGCAAAGAGACAAGCGCCTACTGAACAAAACTCATTCTCTTAAAAGAACAAGAGGCAGGTGGATACAGAGAAATTCAGCCTAACTGCAGAGAAAAGGGACCTGTTATTCACACAGCAAGGTAGCTGCAGAGACACTGATGAAATGGTGAAGTTCATAACAGTGTTAATGTCTGCTACTGCATTATACACAACTTACAAGCCTTGACTACAGGAACATCAACTCTGTTTCAGTTCTACTTTGTTTCAGCAGAAGTTGGTTTTAAAAGGTTTCTTTGCAGAAGGCTTTTCAGAACAAAATTAGCATAAAAAATTAAATAGCATCCATACACAGGTCTTCTTTCATGATTTTTACTAAGCACGCATTTAGCGATACGGTTACCTTGTCTGTTTTACTGATGCTGGCTATTGGTCAAATCTCCCACCTCACTTCAGGACAGAGTTAGGATAAGCCGCCATGCACTACCAGTGGCAGAAAACAGGAAGCTGCATCAGAAAAAAATAAAAAAAGGCCTTATTTACTGTCAAACTTCCTTAAACACTTCCACTTTAAAACATTTTAACAAATTTCCCAGTTACAAAAATTCATTATTTTCTCATATGTAACAATCATGTTTACACTTCTGAGTATGGTGCAGTCTGAGGTTCAACTAAAACAATCTTGAACAACAGTTCTAATTTCATAGTTGAGGAAAGAACGGCGTTCCTTTTTTCTAAATTTTTAACTGCATGTAGGAGCAACGTATTCCTTTTTTAGGAGGATAGTGATCTTCCCCACTGGTCTTAAAACGCTCACTTACATGGCCTCCAACTTAAAACCGCAGGTAAAGTTTTATTAATTAATTAAATCTAAGTTAAACTTACACTGATTTAGCACTATGAAAATCTAGAAATCCATTTCTGGAGCCTCTGTAGCATTAAGTGGTGCATCCTCCAGGCAGCACCAGGAAAGACTACTTACCAGCAGTAATAGGGTAGTAATGCGACATTCCCACAAGCAGAACCACCACACTGGGCAATTTTACATTACACACTTTTAAGCACAGTGCTTAAAAATACTATCTGCCCCCAGTCCAGCTTAAAAGTCTGTTTTTTCTACTGAAAAGAGTGCAGTGAGCTTTCTGACATTCATGCAGTCCTTCTCTTATTACACAAGTTCATCGTCCAGAGCCAAAAGATAGTGATTTAGCATACAAACTAACTCAATGAAAACATAATTCCCTCCCAGCTGTTTCAGGTTCAAAGACGGGCAACAAGGCTTGTGAAGGGCCTGGAGGATATGCCCTATGGGGAGAGACTGAAGGAACCAGGGCTGTTCAGTCTGGGGAAGAGGAGGCTGAAGGGAGACCTTACTGCTCTCTTCCAATACTTGAAAGGTGCTTACAGCAAAAGCAGGGTTGGTCTCTTCTCACTGGTGACAGGATGAGGGGAAATGTCCTCAAGCTGTGCCAGGGTAAGTTTAGGTTGGATATCAGGAAACACTTCTTTATATAAAAGGTGGTTAAGCACTGGAATAGGCTCCCTGGGAAGGTGGTTTAAAAACCACTTGGATGTGGTGCTCAGGGACATGATTTAGTGGTGGGTTGTTAGAGTTTGGGGAGTATGGTTAGGTTGTGATTGGACCTGATGATCTTGAAGGTCTTTTCCAATCTGAGCAATTCTATGATTCTATGTTAAGGGTACTCCACTCTACACTTTCCTCTGTCTCATCGCACATGGTTAATCTCTAACACTCACGATTTGAGTTTTAGACAATTTGATGGTAAACAATGGGGAAAAATGTGATCCTCTCACCCCTATGAAAGTGGTCTTCCCAGCTCTCTTCTTCCTGCTCAGCTCAGGAAAGCTGAAACAGACAGACATGAAGAGCACAGGGCTGACGCACAGCACAAGCAAGCCCAGGAGAATGGTAAAAGCCTGGTAAAAGGCTGGTGACTGCTCCCCTCCCTCCTCCATAGTACAAAACATCCACCTCTGCAAAAGGCTGGGTTCACTGCTAACAGGGAGAGGGTAAGGCTGTGGCGACACACCAAGCAGGTGAACAGGAAGACACTGCTTTTCTGACTCCTCACGCCCACTTTGTGAAATCAGTAACACGCAGAGATGGGGCCATTCTTGCCCTGATCTCGCTACAGCTCCAAGTACAGTTTAACGCCCTGAACAAATACAGAAAATGCACCTACAAGAGGATTAAGAGTTCACTTAGCTTGCACCTCACACGGCTTAAACATCACAGCTGAGCACCGATTCGGCTTCTTTAGCACTACAGCACAGTTTGAAACTGACAACGGTAAGAACAGAACCTCATCAGCCATTCTGCAGCCACATTTCAGGGGACACACCTGAGCAGCTGTGGCCTTTGGAATGCATCACTTGTATCTCTGTGCTTGCTGCTGCAACATACTTACATGATTACACCGTCTTACTCACCAACATCACGCACAGAAATACACTGCACGTCTAGCGAAGAATAAGAAAAGATAACAGGAAAACACTAAAATGCACTTTTTTTTTTTTTTTCTTCCCCCAAGTGTTCTCTGCTCGGCTCGGCGTGAAAGAAAGGGGACTCCCAACACCGCAGCCGTCGCAGAGAACCACCCGAAACGTTTCAAGCACAGAATCGCACAGCGTTCCGGCTTCCCTCCCTACAACGTGACACAGCTCGATGGATCACCGCTCCCCAACGAGGCAGGCCCGGAGGAAGCAGCGGAGCCCGCCGACGGAAGCCTCGCCAGCCGCCGCGGCTAAGCGCGGGCCGGGGCCTCCCTGAGGCGCGGCCGGGGGGACGCGAGGGGTCTCCCAGCCCCTCCGCCAGGGGCCGTGGAGCCCCCCGGCCCAACGCCCCTGCCGCCAACGCCCCCACCCGCCCCGCAGCGGCTGACCCCGGGGCGACGAGGGGAAAGGAAGCGGGTGGGCCCGCTCTCTTACTCTGGCTCCCGCGTGGTCCCGCCGGCGGAGGCCCAGACGCGTTCCGAGCCCGGACGCGACCGCAGCCACCCGTACGTGGCAGGGGAGAGAAGGGGCGGCCGGAGCGCTGCCGCTGCCGGGCCTGCGCGCTGCGTCCGCATGCGCACTACGGCCACCGGGCCGCCCGGGGACACAGCGCGCATGCGCCGAGCCGGTCGCCGTGGCCGCCGCCACGCGGGGAGGGAAGGAGGTGGGGTTGTGCTGCTGAGATGGCTTGGTCTCTGGTATTCAAAGCCAGGCTGGATGTGGCCTGGGCAGCCCGGTCTGGTGGTTGGCGACCCTGCACGTAGCAGGGGGGTTGAAATAGATGATCGTTGTGGTCCTTTTCAACTCAGGCCATTCTATGATTCTGAGAGCTGCTGCAGACCTCTGAGATGAGGAGCAGATCCAACTGTAGCCACAGTGGTGGGAAATGGTGGTTCAGCCAGAGCAGAATGGCTTTGAAACATGTAGGATGGCAGTGCTGGGGTGGAAAATCAGTCGTGAAATACCACCCTGCTCGTGGCACAGAGCCACCATCCATGGAGAGCCTTGCCTCCACAAATAACTCGGAATCATTAAGGTGGGAGAAGCCCTCTTAGACCATCTTGTCCAGCTGTCAGCCCATCCCCACCATGCCCACTAAACATGTCCCTCAATGCCACATCTGCACAGCTCATGAACACCTCCAGGGATGGTGACTCCACCGCCTCCCTGATAGCCTATTCCAATGCCTCACCACTCTTCCTGAGAATAAATTTATCCTAATATCCAACCTGAACTTCCCTTGGAGCAACTTAAGGCCATTCCCTCTCCCCTGAAATTGTTGCCCTGAAGGGGCGACTGGTAGCCATCTTGGCCATAGTGAGCATGAAGTACTTGAATTACAAATCTTTGATGGCAGGAGGAAAACTGCCAGTGAAACTTCAACCATGGATGTTCTCCATATGGGGAGAACAGACTTCAGGCTGCTGAGGGATGTAGTTGACAAGATCCCTTGAAAAAATGCATCTGATGTTAATGGGGTCCATCACTGCTGGTCACTTTGTGTGTAGGCAAAGAAAGGTACAAAAGAGCTAGATAAAGCAGTGATGCAAGAGGCCTGGTAGATAAGTATGAGAAAATAGGAATAATTTGGCCATTTTCAGTATAAACAAATATGTATGATCTCTTTAGTTTTAAAAACATACAAAAGAGGCCTGGAAGACAAGACTTTTCTGTCCATTACAAATACAAGCTGTCATTTTTCATACCAGATAATTCATAGAATCATAGAATGGCCTGAGTTGAAAAGGACCACAATGATCACAGATCACAGAATCACAGAATGACCTGGGTTGGAGGGGACCTCAAGGATCATGTAGTTCCAACCCCCCTGCCTAGCAGGGCCACCAAACATACACCTTTACTAGATCAGGTTGCCCAGAGCCTCGTCCAACCTGGTCTTGAACACCTCCAAGGACGGGGCATCCACAGCATCCCTGGGCAGCCTGTTCCAGGACCTAACCACCCTCCTAGTAAAAAACTTCCCCCTAACATCCAACCT